GATATCCTGCCTCCGCCACGGTCGGCAGGCATCGCCCGTGGGGTACAAATACCCCTACAACGATATCCTGCCTCCACCACTGTCGGCAGACCTCGCCCGTAGGGTACAAATACCCTACAACGATATCCTGCCTCCGCCACGATCGGCAGGCATCGCTCGTGGAATAAAAATCCTCCTTCAACGATACCCTGCCTTCACCACGGTCCGCAGGCAAACTCTTGTAGTAAAAATCCCCTACAACGATACCCTGCCCCCGCAGCTGCGATCGTCGAACGTTTAGTCCATGTCGTGCGCGTCACCGCCAGCCCGGTGTCGACCGGGGTGGCGGTGTCCACAAATCACGCTCGGGTTCCAGTGTAGCCATTGTCTGAGAATCTCTGTACCAGGCCGTGTGTCCCGCACATGACTCACATAGGACGTCCAGTGCAAGGCAAAATAAACGGGTTTTCCAATTAGCCCGAACCTGCGTTTTATTTAGACATCGGGAACACGCGCCGTTTTTGGGCGCGATGACAGCGGTGGCCTCGCCAAAAGTCGCGACGCCCCGCCAGCTGAGCTACGGGACGGCGACTTCTGCCGTTCGGACTGACCGCGTGCACGGAAACCGGGGATTACCGTCTAATATCGCGCCGTGTGGAGACGAGCAGAACAATACCAGCTCCCAGCAATACATTCCTTGTGCTCCGCCTCGCAGCACACCGAAGGCGAATGAACCCCCATGGCGGCGTGACGCACATACATGTAGTGGGATGGCGTCATTGGCAAGCAGCGCCGGAGCGAGAACGGCGCGTGAGGAGCAATATTCAACAGGTCAGGGGCGGCCTCTGTGGTGACTGGGGAGTCCCCGTCGTCCACGCCGAACACCGCGCCAGTCGAGCGTGCACTAATGGGACCTGGCAGAGACCGGATGTCACGGGCCACGCGATGTGACCCCGCCCACTGTGAGTCACAGGCTGGGGAAATCGCTCGTTAGCCGTGGGGTGAACCTTGCCATGAAACGTGATCGAGATGTACGCTGACATAAAGGATGCCATTTGGCCGAGGCGTCGGGTGGGCGATGGATGCTTTACAAATCAGGGATGCATTCGCGGCGACTCGGACGACACAAAATCCATCCCGCCATTACCCATAGATGCCACGAGGAATTGCATGAAATATAAATTGCTAAACGAACACCAACGAGTTGGTATTATCCTACAGGTTAATAGCTCGAACAGTTCAATTCGTCAAACAGTAGAGTTCGTGCTTTGTCAGGCGTCGATAGATGTCAGCACAGTCGATCGACTGCCGCCACCACGCCGTGGCGTCTCAGATCCTCACCGTACGGTCCCTCGTCGCTCATGAACGGCATGCGCTTCTCCTGCTCCAGGCAGAACATGACGAGCGGCAGGACGAACACCATCGTCTTGCCACTGCCGGTGGTGGCGATGCCGATGATGTCCCGGCCGGCGAGGCTGTGAGGGCGTGAGGGGGGAGAGCGGGAGGGTGTCACAGGGCTGGAGCCTCGGCGCCAGGCCGATGACGAGAACAGGAGATAACGCAGCTACCGGCTCGACTGGCCGCGGGAGGCAGTACTCCGTCATGGGTTAGGAGAGCTGAGCGCGCTTTGAAGCAAGCATGGCACCGACCAGTACTCTGCCCAACAAACAACAACGAAATTCGGCACTATCGTGGCTTGGCTGCGACCATTTTGAAAATGGAAGCATATCATGATGGCTGTGACTGCCATTTCTCGGTAAGCATCCAGAACCTCAATTGCGTACCAGACCGAAAACACTTCCCACCCGCAGCAAATGGAGAGCAAAACAGCGAGGCGACTGCTCCACCAGTCCCTCCCCCCCCCCCCCGGCCCAACACAGGTCAGCCGCAGCGGCTGCCCCCACTCCCCCCCCGCCCCCCGGCCAAGACACTTACACAGCCGGCAGCCCCTGGATCTGGATCGGCGATGGCTTGACGATGTTCTTCTTGCGCAGCACCTTGAGCACGGCGGCCGGGAACTTCATCTGCTCGAAGGTCTTGAGCGGCGGCGGCACATTGTCGCCATCGACGAGTATGTGGTGGCGGCGGCGGACACGCGCGTGACGCGCCTCTGGCATCTCCAGCACGGCCGACGGGGCGCGCCAGCTGCGGCCGAGGTCAGACAGAGGTCAGGCGGGGACAGGCGAGGGGTTTAGGTAGGGGGTCAGGTAGGGGGTTAGGCAGAGGTAGAGAGAAGGATCAAGTGTGGGCTAGGTAAAGGTCGGACGAGGGGTCAGTTGGGGGTCAAGCAGAGGTTGGGCGAAGGTCGGACGACGCGTCAGCCGGTGTCAGGCGCGGGTCCGGCCGGCCAGGCAGGTGTCAGAATGGGTCAGGCAGGAATCAAGGGAACCGGCAGGGTTCGGGAGGGTGTGCCGAAGAATGGGTCCCTGTTCGCGCTTGGACTTATGCCGACGATCATATCAGTCCAACCACGCCAAAACAGGGGAGAACCAAAACGGCCATGGGATACGGCGAACGGTCACTGGGGCATGGGGTTCAGAAATCATTGTACCGCGGCTCGTATACTGGAGCGCAATATGAGAATAGAGCAATATTTTCGCTTTGCCGCTTCCTTACAGTAGAACATTAAGGCTGAACTGCAACAATAGTTTGGAACATTAGGGGCATTAGGGTCTCGCCCAGGACATAAATCGTATAAGTGTGTCATATATGGACATGTTGTCCCATGTGTAAGACTCAAGAACGACCGGAGTACACGCAAAAGCAGGTCCAAGACCCTATTATCACCAGCAACACTGACACGAGAACATGGTGCAGCGCACAAAATCTCAAATAAAGCAGCCATCACCTGGTCTTGATGGGCTCCGTATACTCGATGCCCTTGGCCAGCTCGGCGGCCGCCATCAGAGCCCGCTTCTCAGCCACGTTCTCCAGCAGCTTCTGCTCCTCCTTCAGCTGCTTCTCGATGTCGCTCTCTTTCTTGGCTGCGGGGAACGGAGGGCGATCCGGCACGGTTGTAGGGAATGGTGGGATGAACAAAAACGTAAAAAAGCAACGGGCGATCACAATTACTTTTGAGCAGTCCGGAACATCAACAGGAAATATAGCCATCTTAGTCATCTTTCCAGTATCATGTGTGGAAGTTCATGCAGCGAGCAAAAACTAAACCGACCGCAAAACACTCGTTTCGGTTGCGCACCTGAAGCATCATTTCGTGTTCGTCATTTAAATAAATGAGCCTCAAAAACTTGAGTACTTTGGAGAAATTAACACTTCTTTAAAATCGTGCGTACCCTCCGCCTTCTTTTTCAGCTCTGTATGCTGATCCAGAAGGGATATGTTAGCTTTCCTGGCCATCGCCTGAATGTCCTCCTCCCCGTCTTCCTCTTGTGGCTTCTCCTGATTTTCCGCTCCGTCCGACTCTTTCTCCGCTTCGCTGGAGCGGCCGCTGCGCCGGTCCTCGTCCTGAAGCTGTTCAACAGGGGCCCGTGTTACAAACCCTCACTGGACCGTCACTGCGCCTGTCCTCGCCCTGAAGCTGTACGACAGGGGCCCGTGTTCCAAACCCTCATTGGACATCACTGCCTCAATCCTCGTCCTAAAGCTGTACAGCAGGCGCCCGTGTTACAAACCTTCAGTGGACTGTCACGGCGCCTGTCCTCGCCCTGAAGCTGCACGACAGGGGCCCGTGTTACAAACCCTCACTGGATCATCACTGCGCCGGTCCTCGTCTTGGTGTTATACAACCCGTCTCGTAAACCTATAAATAAAATGAGTGGGGAGGGGACATGGGGCAATCACACCCCATCGCCGTTTTCGGGAGCATTGTGTTGCCCCACGTGTCAGCGACAACCCTGTTCATGTACGCATGTGTCTCCACGTATGTTCATGTACAATGGCCAGCTTGCAACGATCGATCACGTGGCAGAGTACGTTCGGCACTGGCGGCACCAGCGTTTCGCCGGGCCTGGCCTGTGGCAATGACAATTCTTTGCTGTTTGCTGAGAGGGCTCCTGACGACTTAAAAGGAGACTGGCAATTCCGAGGGAGCAATGGCTAGTCATACAGGACTCTGGCAGTCATCTGAGGTCACGGCCCGTTGCTGTACAAGGGCCGCCAGCTAGTCAAAGCGGATCCTAGCCATCTCAAGTGGCGCTTCACCAGTCGTAACGAGCCCTAGCTGTTACAGCTGACTCTGGACCTTGAGCATTACATCTCTGATGGGTTCTTGACCATTCACACAGTGCCTGACAGTTCACACCCATTGACAAAACAGCTCTTGAGCATCTCACACTCAAGGAAGGGGTATATGGCCATTCAGTTAACCTCTCTGTCCCCTCCTACCTGGCCAAGCCACTTGGCCTTTTCTTCCTGCATGCTTCAATCCTGATGATGCCTTTCATCAGCCATTGGTAACAGTCTACAACTGCAAGCTGTGGATTGGCATGCCATTGTTTGGGGACTTGACAAATTCTAAGAGATAAACATTGGATGTAATGGCAACAGCTAATCATGCTGACAGCGGAACACTGACACCTAAACAATAGTGGCTGGGGCACACAATGACTCATCCCTCTTGGTCCTCATGGCCTACTCCTACAAAATGCAAGGATGTAAGAATGACAAGCTGACCAAAATATGATGACAGAGCAAACTATGCACAGCTATGACTGAATATCACCTTCATTAGACCTTGTGCAGTTTGAAGTGAATCATTTCCACTGTGTGTTGTCATGGCGCAGTGATCAGCTGGCACGCACGAAAGCAGGACGTGGTCAGTGCCCACTGCATCGCTGTAACCAGCAGCACCAAAAAAGGAACACAGGCTGGATAAAGCACCCACACAAGCCTAGGCAGCGCACGCTCACCTGCAGCACGCGGGAAAGGCGGCTGATCACCTCCTTCTTGCGCTCCCGCACAGGAACATAAGGTTTGTAGTCATCTATGTCTGAGTCAGAGCTGGCTGACTCCTCCCGCCTGTATCTCTGTGGCAGGTGAGGGAGGTATCAGACATATTTAAAGGTAGGGTGAAGGTGACAATCCTGTGCTGGTGCTGACAGAGAGGTGTTGCAACAATGCCCACTGGTTGAAATGAATTGCATTCTTAAGCAGCTGTTTTTATGGATCACATTTCTAAATGAACAAAGCTAGGTTTAAAATGAAAGTGATGCATGGTTTACACTTATTATGTGGTGACATGCTAATGTACATCCACCTAGACCAAGATATCTCAATACATTGCTAACTTGCAGCAACAAAATGCACAGATGCCAGCCAACATGTCACAAACACAGCACCACCCACAGACCTTAAGAGGTGGCTTGTCATCTTTGTCTGAGCCCATGATGTTTAAGTTGAAAGTTTGTGCTGAAAAGGCATATGCACATTAGCCTCAGACTGCAGACTAGACAGTGGTGAAATCCTAACTAATGTTAAATGCCTAGATTTTTGCAATACCAAACATGACATCTATCATGAAATCAAACATGATATTGGAATATCTGAAAAATTAGCTTCTTTTCTGGGGTTTTACTTCAGAGACGGCAGAGTGGTCTGTTGATGAGGTTAGGGTACATCAGGTTAGGTTAGGTTAGGTCTCTCATGAAATGACCAAGGTTAAGCAAAAAGTGGTATATTACTCAAATTTTAAAAATCTAGGCAGCTTTTACTTGGAGAAGTTTGATTTTAGGCATTTAGTTCTTTCAGGTGAAAGGATGCAAAACTGATGAGCTTGGATCCCCTGCCACAGTGGTAGTTTACCTGTACCTGGAACATGTACATTTCAAACACAACTTGTGGCAAAATGTGCTGAATTTGTGCACTTTTCAAACTGAAAATTTTGAGGGATGCTCAGACTATATTTTCATGCTATTAACACAGCATTCTCATTCAATGAATCATTGGCTCACTTCACACCAAAAATTGATGGCAACCAAGTGGTAATTTCTAGACACTCCAGGAATTCGATTTTGGAGATTTATGATGCACATGTGTAGAAATGGCTGACACAAGTTTGCAACTATGCCCGACGTGCTGCATACCCTAATTTCTTGCAGTGTGGAGTCCCTGGCGGCGACACTACGCACAAATCAACCCATAACACATTTATATACCAGAACGATACCATCTATCTGCATCTGATTTTCAAATGACACTTCTTACTTGCAAACGTCAATAAAATAGGCCAACAAACGCATGCACTTACCACTCGCGCTATCACTGACGTACCTTTCGAATCCCGCACCATCCGATGTCGCCGACGTTTTTGCGCCTATTCACGCACAGATGCGGCAGTTTACACACGGTCTGGTAGCCGTCATTTGCTACCAAATCCATTTCGGTCAAGATCATTTTGTTTGTTCTTTTTATCCCTACTTCAGGTTGCGAAAGATGGACACTTGATTCAAGAGCTTGTACCAAACCTTACAGGTGCGGTTCTCGTTGATTGCTCGACATTACAGCTATGGCTACAATAAAAAGCACAATGGAACCGATAACGGAGTTCAGGTAAACAAACATCTTGTTCCACCATGCGGAGTGCACCGTCTCTCGTAGGTAGGCATGTCACACAATAGCCGGGATCTCGGGTTTGCATTGGAGCAGCCACCAGTTTCCCACAGTAACTTGACAATACATACTAGCAATAAGCACTTTTCGATGAATTCAGTCGTTTATTGCCTAACGGGCTGATGGTTTAGACGTGATGGTTATATATATATATATATATATATATATATATATATATATATATATATATATATATACAAGAATGCTGTGTGCGCAGGCGACCGGAGTGCATGCGTTGTCGGCATGTTTGTTCGACCCCAATAGTCTTCTGCAAGGTCTCTGGTTCCGGGCGATTTTATTGTAAACTGGTCCACGAAGCTTCATACATAATCACGCTCGACTCCGCGCGTCGAGTTTCGGTGCGGCTGTGCCACGGTGGAACGATCATCACGAGTATCGGGGTATCAGACTGCCGTCCTATCACCCCATATCATGATTCAAACATATCAATGACCCGCGTCGGTAGATTTCAGAACCCCTACATGATACAGGCGATAACGAAAGTCGCAATCTATTTTCTATTTACTTGCATAGCACCTACTGCAAGCACCCTGACCCAGTTCTTATGCAATAGCTCCCTGAGACGACCGGGCACGGCATAACTTTGACAATAATGCTGGCCACACCGGCAGAAGTCTGCCAGCTCCTCCGCTCAGCGTCTGCTTCACTTCACTTCAAATTCACTTGCTTCGCACCCGCATCCCAACTCCGTCTTTCCCTGACGGTGAACGCATCCGTACACCAGCCGGTCTGCCGCCGCCACACTCACGCCACGATCACGGCAAGTAGCCGAGCGAGTTCTCGATGTTCTGCTCCGAGTAGCCGTGGCTGCCGCGCGGCGCTGCGCCGTCTCCGCCGTCGCCGCGCCGCTGCTCGTCCTCGCTGTCGCTGCTCAGCAGGTCGGTGGTCTGGCTCAGCCGCAGGCTCGAGAAGGTCGCCGCGATCTCGGTGGCTTTCTTGAGCGTGAGCGCGTCGCCTTCGCCGCGGCGCCGCCGTTGCGAGCCGCCCAGGCGCACCACGCGGCCGGCCGGGTCGGCGGCCGAGACCATGAGGAAGCGGCCGCCGGCGCCGTGCGCGTCCGCCGCCTCCGGCCGGCTCAACACGTCCGCCGCCTCCGGCCTGCTCAGTACGTCCACGCTACCCGTCTTGCGCAGCGTAGTGCCGGCACCCGGTCCGGCGCGGAGCGTCTGCCCGGCCGGCCGCCGGCGGCAGCTGCGGCGGCAGGAGCTGCGGCAGTGGCTCCGGCCGCCGCCGCCACCACCGCCGCCCCGCTCCGGCTCCTCGCCGCGGTGGAGGCTCGGCGGACGCTCGTCGGCCGGGCCGTCGGCGTGGCTTTGTCTGCGGCGGTGCGAGGGGCGCTGCAGTGCCGCACGCTCCGAGCCCCGTCCGTAGGGGTCCGCTCGGTTCGGCGGTGCGCCGGTGTCGGCCGCGACGCCGTGCGTCAGCGAGCAGTAGCACCTGTCGCTCTCGGCGCAGCTCTCAGCGTCGCAGGGACACGGCAGGTCCATCAGTGAGCGCGACTTGGGCAGGCGAGTGATGGGGGCGGAGTCCGTGCGGTCAGCGTCCCTGCCGCAGGCGCAGCTGCCGAGCGGTGATAAGCTGTCCTGCTGGAGAGGCGAGGTCCGCTCCGTTCGAGTTGTAGCCTCCGAACGAGGCAGCGGGTGATCTTGGCTGGTAAGCGCTTTGATTTCCACAGAGGGCCCGCTGGGAATCTTGGAGGGACGATCCTCGTCGGTTTTTGGGTCTCGCTTCTTGTCGCCGGCCCTGGCATTGTACAGCCTTGCCAGAGGTGAGTGTTGTCGGAGGTATGCGGTTGGTGATTGGAAGCTGCCCGAGCGGGAGGTCAGCCGCAGCAGCGACTTCTTCGTCGCCTTCAACACGTTGCTGATGGTGCTGCCGTCGGAGGTGTCGCTCTCGCTCTGCGTGGCGGACTGCTTGGTCTGCTTCTTCATGATGCTCTTGCTGCGCCGGTACATCTCATCCTTGCTGAGGGTGAGCGCCAGCCGGAGCAGCAGCTCACGGTGCTCAGGGCGCAGCTCGCTGAACGACATGCCGTCGGGGCCAATCACCTGGCGCAGCACGTCGTCCACCGTGCGGATGCCGTCCCGCGCTTGGATCTCGGCCAGCAGGCGGCGCAGGTCCACACGCGGCTGCGGCTCGCCGCGTTCCGGCGGCGGCCGCTCGTCGAACACGACGCCGCGACCGGACCGCGGGTCAGAGGCGCTGCGGGTGAGTCGCCGGCCCGCGCGCGGGCCCCCGTCGCCGGTCTGCGAGCTCGCGGGGTCGCCGGCGAGCAAGCCGACGCTGCCGCTCCGCCGCGCGCCGCCGTTGCCCGGCGCGGCTCGCGGCCGGTCCCGCTCGCGGCCGCGCTCGCGGCTGCGCTCGCGGCTGCGGCTGCGCGGCCGAGCGGCGCGGCTGGCGCCGGCGCGCGCCGACGGCCGCCGCTCCAGGCGCCGCGGCGCGCCAGGCTCGTCGTGCGGCACAGGCGGCGCGCGCCGGCGCCGCTGCGGCCGTCTGGGCGGCGCCAGCTCGTCGCCGGTGGAATCGAGCCCCGAGCTGCACGGGTCTGCCGCGCCGTCAGGCCGCAGCCGCGTCAGCAGCGCCTGGTACAGGTTGGCCGCGATCACGATGGCGTCCTCGGCGGCGGCGCACGCGAAAGCATGACACTGGAGCGCGCCGCCGACGCCCGGCCGCCGCATCACACACGCCAGCAGCGGCGGGTGCGCGGCGTCCCGCGCGCGCGCCGCCAGGCTGGCGTCCAGCGCGCTGAACAGCTGCGAGCGGTCCTGGTTCTCCGGGTCGCAGATGAGAGGCAGGAAGGCGAACTGGAGCTGCGCGCGGCCGGCTGCGCTCGGCCGTTGGCTGACCACGAACTTGACGGCGGCCCACACAGCCACGGTCGAGAACGGGTTAACGAGCTCCTGCACGCCTCTGTGAAGCTCTCTAACAAACTGCACGCGAATGCCGGAGTCGGTGATCTCCAGCGTGTCCTGCAGTGTCTTCCGCAGCCGAGCCAGCTCGCGGTACTGCATATACAGCCGCTTGAGCGGCTCCTGCAGGTCCTCCAACTGCGTCGCGCCCTCCGCCACCGGCAGCGCGCCGAGGTAGTCGACGCTGAAGACGGCGCCGGCCGCCACGTCTGCTTCGCCTCCGAGCCGTTCCAGCCTCGTCATGATGGCCGCCGGCGTCATCACCGACTCCATGCTGGGGGCGACGCCTGGCCGGGCTGGCGGCGGCGGCGGCGGCGGCGGCGGCGGCGGGGGTGGCGGCGGGGGCGGCGGCGGAGCGCCGACCCCCGTCCCCGCCCACAGCGACGGCCGTTGGAGGAACAGCCCGCCGGGGGGCAGGTCTGAGGCCGGCTGAGGTGGGCGCAGTCCGGGCAACCGTCCAGACAGCTCCGCCGGCGGCTCCACCGGCTCGTAGTCGCTGGTTGAGGAGGCCGGCACCTCGGGGCTCTGGCTGAGCCGCGTCTCGCGGAAGAGTGAGTCGATCCGTTGCTTGTAGGCCGAGCTGCTCGAGTCGGAGTAGGTGCTCGACGAGTCGGCGTCGAGGCGGAAGCTGTAGCCGTCCGTCTTACGGGTCATCATGGCCGACAACTGGCGACGGCGTCAGGTAGAGGAGCGGCCGCCGCTCCGCGGCACCACCGTCGCAGGCGGCCTTCGCCAGGCGGCGCCACTATTCCCGGGCTTCGCCTGTCGCCTCGCTGACGGCTGTGAAGCAAGACACGGAGGTCAGCCAGTGCTAGAGACTGTGGCATCATGGGGTCACGACCAAGGGACCCAGTGACGTCACCGGTGCAGTCAAGACACGTCCAGCGGTGCCCAACTGTGCTGAGGATTCAGCGCGTACGCGAGAGAAATACCCTAGAGCTGGATGGCATTTTATGGAAAATAAAAACTACCACCGTTAGAGAATGAATGCTTCCATTCCAAGTCCAATGGCCTGTGTGATCTGTCGCTGTCAGACGGCCCATGACGTCATAATATGCATCGATGGGGTGCGACGTTGGTCAATCATGCGTGAACCGATGCCAACGAGCTCGAGATCTTATAACGGCCACGCTTTCCGCACGGACGAATATCTTGCAACGCACGTAAATTTGGTCATCTGAAATGTTGTAACCATAGTCAACGTAAAAGACAGCTTAATGCACAGGCGTAAACGGCACCACCAAAGTGGTTCGACCTGCTTGACAGTCGTTTTTTTCCAGCGTGCCGCCCCAGCAGTCCCTGGTAAGAATCCGTAACATCTTATGCAAGGCCGTAACACGCCGTCTGTTTCAGTTTTCCTTCGCTTTTCTTTAGCCTGCCGGAAATGTATTCCTCTCCCAGGTAGCGAAATTCGATGCTATATGTAGGTGAACCTACGCGATGACGCACATGGAGCCAACTTTACATTTGTATCCATGGGACGCGAACTATAATACTAATCAATGTGCATGTGCGGGGCTGCGCGTAGCCCGCTCGTGAACAGCATTTTATGTATAAGCGGCTCTACATTCATTGAACAAACTATACGATCTCAATATGGCGGTCTAACATGCAACACAGCACGAAGTCTGCAGCCTAGCATTTACAACTGCAGAGTAAATTACAATCGTCGTTTATATGCAAGAAATCAGACCGTCGTTTATATGCAATGATCCGCAGAAAAGAAAAGGCATTTTTAAGTGCGATCATGGTCGTGGATGAATCT